CATCCCCAGGGGGCACCGGCAGGTGCTCACGGAAGAGCAGCGTCGTCCGTTAACGCTCGGCGAAGGGGTTTCTGCCTCGCGGCCGGATTGCCGGTGCGCGGGACGTAAACGGGCTGCTTTTCCTGCGAGAGGTGAAGAGGCGAGTGCCCGGCTCCGGCTCTGCGGAAAGCACCGCTCTCGTTTAGGGGGCCAGTACACCTAAAAGTGTTAGTGGTTTCCCTTCGGGCCCGAAGGGAGCCATGCGCTCTACACACAGCTCATTGCTTCGCAGGAGAGCGGCTTGGGAAGGTACTGGCTTGGCAGTCGGGGCAGCCTGTGCCGTAAAGCCGCACGCAATACCCTACGCCAACATATCCACAACTTAATATCTTTATCGCACTAAACAAGGGGGGGGGGAAGTTACCGGGAGTTGGAAACACTGTGTGAAAGGAAAAGAGAGAAAACAAAAGAATCAGCCTTTCTCCAAGTGTAACTAAGCCAGCTGTTCATCTGAACCGCGTCCTGCAATAGGGGTCAGCTTTAGATTAGGATACGTTATCTAGGTGCTTACACTGTCTAAGCTCCCATGACTATCAGTGGAGATCTGGTGAGCTATTCAGCTGATTGAATGCAGGTACCTACTTCAGGGTGATCTGCATAGCTTCTGGGCTTTACTGACCATATTGATGACGGACTCGGTTTGGTTGCCTAAATACAGACACTGAGTGCTGTTTGAAGTGCCTTTGGTATCGGAGACATCTGCACAGGGCACGTGAATAAGGCACAGGAGACCTACTCCTTCTGGGTTGGTCGCTGGAGGTCAGGCAGAAACCCCAGTGCAACTCAAATGGCTCTAGAGGCTTCTGCTTTGACAGAGGAATCAAGCCCTAAACCTCTACTGACTTTAAGAGGAACTTAGACTCCAGATAGACACCTATATAAAGGCAACAAAGTGCGGTGTATCAATTTGGAGCTGAGTCCTTTCTCTTATATAAAGGCTAAAGATGTAAAAGCAGGTAAACTAATTTACAGCTTACATCAGAAAAGGCTTTTTCTAAATTAACCTCCTGTATGTTTGATATGACTTTCTTTTAACATACTAGCATGTCTTTATTATGGGTTTTCTCTGATCCAGCATCTTCCAAGAGATTTCCTCCTAGATTATAAATGGTTGCTTCTAGTTGTCAATCCCTATTAGCCATTTTCAGGGACACTTGAAAAGATTACTTGTGTTTTATCCAGGAAAGTCATGAATCCTTTGTCAATACAAATACAGTTTGTACAATACAATACAATACACTTTTCAGACCCTCCAGTAAATAGATGCTTACCACCAGTGCTGGACCATGGTGGATTATGCTGGATCTGTTCACTGTGCATGCTCAGTCTTCATGTTTTTTACTGTAGTCATCGTAATGCTAGGAAGGGTCCTTCTGCGTCAAACTTCCATTTGTTATGGAGTTACTAAAGCAGAGATGGATGGTTGGCCCTCTCAAAACTTGGCCAAGACAAGGCAACTTTCTCTTTTGCATTATTTGTGTAGCTGTGTTCAGGTCTGCCTTTTCCAAGACCTCAATGTTATTTATTTTGGCTGACATTTTAACATAAATGCTTAGTTTGGGCAGCCACAGCTAAAACTGCTGTTGGTCTTAAGCTCCCATGACTCCTAGCAGGAATAATTTAGTGCATTGCTACTATAGATTCAATTTGGCATTGATGCTACTATCATTAAGCTTACATATTCTTAAAAATAGCAGTTCCTCAGCCTGCTCAAGTTATTATATCGTAGGTGCAGGTACCAGATGAGGTAAGAAAGGTCTGCCCAGAAAATTAAACTTATCTCCAGGTCTCAGTTGTTCTAAAACAGTAGGATTATCTAAGGCTGTGTTCATTTTTGCTGCCTTTGTTTTTTGTCTCCTGCCTATTAGACCTTTCTTTAGCACTTCTAAATAAATAATTGGTCTTTTGCTATACATTTTGGCCAATGTATCTTGGAGGCACTTGTATCACCAGCAAAGCTTAGCCCTCCAGGCTTAAA